GGATGGGGGTCAGAGAGGGGCAGCGATGGGGTGGATTTCCCGGGATGGGGGTCAGGAGATGGGGCAAGGATGGGGTGGATTTTCCGGACGAATCGTGTGTCTAATGCCATGTGAAAATAGTTTCTCCGATGTCTCTTATCGAATGCTGATTTAGTGATATGAATAATCTGGTTAATAATCTCACTATGATTCCCAAAGCTGCGGGAACTGTTTTGTAAACTCCCGTTTAAAACTTCTAATGAAGGTATCGCATTAAGAGTAAAACGAATTTATCTGTTGCATTAAATTTGGCAGAAAACCCCCCCTGTTGAATTCCAGCTGCTCCTCAGGAACCATAAGGACCGGAAGCAGCTGGGCTTGGATTCTGAGGGATGGCCAGTTCGGCACTAAGCAACAAAAATGCAGAGCCACGGTGGCACTGGAATGGGATGATCTTTAAGGTCACTTCCAACCCAAACCATTCCATGATTCTGTGCTGGTGGTAAACACATTGTCTGCAGAAGCATGTGTGAACACATAAAATGTAACACAGCCAGGCACAAGCACATGAAATTGGGAGATGCTGATACAGCGCTAAGAGCACGATCTCAAGCACAAGCTGCTTTCCACACTTCCCGAGTGAGGAAGCACTCCGTACAGCTGAATGTTCGAGCCTTACCCAACAGGCATCCCTGGGGGAGGAGGTAGGTACAGCCTGCTGACAGTCCCAGGACACAGAGGTGGAGTCTCCTCTGACCTCCCTGCTCTCTTAAGTTGTATTTATATTGTTTTCTTCGAGGGAGGAGAAAAGATGAGTTAATTACAGTTGATATCGTTTTTTGTTTAGATGGAGTTTGACTTCAGCCATGAGCAAAGTGAAGTTTGGTCATGGCTTAGGTCGTTCCTTTGGCTCCCGTTACCTGCATTGTTTCTTACAGAGCGTGACGGCACCCCCGCAGTGCTGCTCCATGCTTTGTTTCATACCTGCACTGATTTCAGCAGGGCACGACCACCTCACCTCGTGCTGCTCCATCCTTTGTTCCCTGCCTCCCTCAGCGTTCCTGCTCCTCGGGGCGCAGGCATCATGTCCCTGGTGAACTACTGCCAATGCACACACTGTCTTGCTGAACTTTGTTTTTCAGTGTTCTCCTCAGATGAAGGCAGCCTTACATGAAAAAGAAAACCAGAATTGCAACATTTTCTTGAAATCTGAAAATAAATCCCTTTGCAGCTGTGTGTGCACCATTCCCTGCTCCCTGAGCAGCAGAACTGAAATGAGTGGCTTTTTGGTGTCACTGTAACACCATAATACTGAAGAAAGTATTATCTGTAGTGTAGAAGATGTACAGGGTGTGTTTCCTAAGACACTGGCTTAGGTGATGTAGGTTTTTGGATGAGGCACGGAAACAGGACTTGACCCACTGGAAGTATTTCAAGTTCCATTCCAATTTTCATGAGCCATAGCTCCAATAATAATTCCAAATCCAGTCCAAGAAATTATACTCTGTTTATTCATTATGTCTTTGTCTTCTAAATCCATCGGTATTACTCTATATCCATTGACAAATAAATATTGGCAGTGATTGGTATAATTCACAATGTTAGTAGTTGGGAGAAGAGACCAACCCCCTCCTGCCTATAACCTCCTCTCAGGGAGTTGTAGAGAGTGATGAGGTCTCCCCTGAGCCTCCTCTTTTCCAGGCTAAACAGCC